TAAGGCACTTTTATGAAGGTTAAAGTATAAGAAGGAGCGCTATCCTGCTGAAGAATTTGCCCTCTTCTGTGGTTTGAATTGCAACGGGCAGGACAAATGATTTTGATACCTTGATACCTCAGGCTGTTGATGTTGCTATCCACTCTACAGATCTCTTGCATTCCTCAAACCTTGATTTTTCCTTCACCAAACTTGACTTATTTCTGTGAGAATCTTGTGTCTATGTGGGTTTCAATAGGTCATCTTGCGGAATTTGTAATGATTGGGATGCAGTTAAACAGATGATTCATCTGATAAATCTACCTTCTGCCACTTTAACAAATGATCGACTAGAAGTCCAGTTATTGTTTGTTGCTCTTACAACTGGGATCATTGACAAGACTTTTGTCAGGTAGTGTAGCAGAAGCTACACAGTTGGTGGAATAGTCTTGCATTTAATCACAACATAAGAAAATTGATAGGACTTTTATCAGAACTTGACAGGACAAAACAAATACTAACATTTTACTCAAATCCATACATGATAAATGAAGAAAAACTTGGACTTTTCAAGCGATCTCCTAATTTTTTATTACCATAGCTGTAATTACAAATAAATTCACTTTTACTGGATTTAAATATCTAAGTTGTAATGTCATTTTTAAGCATCTAATTAGTCAAACTGTTGAAGAAAAACTATAATTGAAATCATCCTGTCAAAACGCATTAAACCCTAAAAACTTGGCAAGGATAAAGCTGCTCAAATCAGTGGAAATAACGCGACAAAATTAGTTCTGTCATTTGCCGTGTTGCATGTAAACATTTGGTTCTATTCTTTGGCTGATAATTGAGGTCAGCGAGGACTTGATGATCTCCACAAAGAAAGAAAAACAAAGTGTCTGATGAGGTGGTTCGCATGGCGAGAGGAAGTGGGTCACAGCTATATGGTCTATTGCTTCTGTAATAATCAAATGCTTAAACGACTGAATAAATACCCATTATCTGGTCACAGTTTGCCAAGTTCAGGGCTGAAGACAAAAAAGCGGTGACCTTTGCAGTTGCGTTTACCAGCTTTCTCCCTGTTTTTTCAGAGAAAGCTCGATATTCCTGTGATTCGCAGGCTCAGCAGTGACAAACAGAAAGCTGTTTTCATCGCCACGCCAGCCTATTGCACCCATGCGGCCCGAGTGCCTCTATATTTCAGCAGTGTCTTGAAAGCGAGCCACACAGGGAGAGTGCTTTATCCACCTCTGTCAGCTTACTGTATTGACTCGCCGCCTGGCCCTCCGACACACTCCCTCTGTTCTCCTTCATCTTTCTCTCTTCTTCCTGTCTTCAGTTCCCTAGCCAACCTCTGCCAGTGGCTAACTGTCCAAACACTAAAACAAAACAAGGTCCTGTTGACATCCGCCGCTTGAACAGCTATGACTACGGCTTCTGTCTGTTACAGGGCTTGAAATTATGTAGCACAGCCTGTGACGCTTTGATCAATGTCTTTCAGCATTTGCGCGATGATATCAGATGATCAGACGTTATCAGATCCCTGCAGTCTCTGAAGCAGGTAATATTTGCATCATCAAAGATTGTTTTACTACTCAAAGATCGAAAACCGCTTCCCTCAAGAGTCAGATCCGTGTTCTGTTTACTGCAAATCTTTAAATGATCTCCCCTGATTTCCCAGGTACCATGATGCAATGATTTTTCTTCAAGTGCAGTGCAGTTTCTCTGCCGTCTCTTATTTCAGAGAACGAGTCATACCTTTTCCCAGAGATTAGATCATGTTCTTTTGTAAAGAAATCACAGCACTATTCTAGCAAGTTAAGGTTTTGATACCAAACAAAAGGAAGAAAGGTGGAAAATTAGTGTCCGTACTTCACATCAATGACCACAATGGATATAAGTTTTGTTTTTAAAACTTACTTGACATAAAGTGTACCTATTTTACCCCATTTCAAGATTTCAGATAAGTCTTTTGCGTCTTCAGAATGTGTCTGTAAAGTTTCAGCTCAAAACACCCATCAGATTATTTATAATACATTTCAGAATGTTGTAATTTTCACCTCTGAGCATCTTGTAGCTGCTTCAGTTAAACACCACAGTGACAGACATAAAGGAAGCAGATCTCATGTAACTTTTGTGAGAAATACCTCAGTAAGAACTTTCCCAATGCTTATTTGATGTATTTGTTGTGGAGTTAATTCAGGTTTTTCTGCAATGATGAGTCCTACACAATGTCGTTACAGAGTTCACGCACACACACACACACAAACACACAGCGCATGCGTATAACTTTGCACTGTTTTTGCACAGCAAACGTGACAGGATACACGTTAATATCCACTGCTGTATGGATATCTGTTATGTTAATGTGCAGAATAAAACCTGATTTAATGTCCACAAACCAGTATTGAAGCTTTTATTATTGTACTGACATGCAGCTGTGGTGATAAATTAAAGACGATAAAATCGCTGTAATTCATTACATACATGCACTGTTTTAAAAACGTTTATACTTAAACTCATTCTTGATCACTTTTGATGAAGATTGATGATCACAGAGCGCTGAACAGATCTTTTAATCCCGGTTGCTTTGCGCACATCCTGTCGTGTTGATATGATTATACCAACACAATCTCACGGCAATTCGTAACTTTTTCATTTAGTGGCTAATTCGTATGAATTCGTATGAATTCGTACGATCTACTTCGTACAATTTAGTACGATTTGCTTATCCCCCAATGACGGTTGGGGTTAGAGGTGGGGTCAGGTGCCACGCCTCCTTTTTAAAATCGTACCATTTCGTACCACTGAACTCGTACGAATTCGTACGAATTAGCCACTAAACTGGCAAAACGTAAAATACTTACGTTTTCTCGTGAGATCAGGCTGGATTATACACGTTACTACGGAGACATGTTGATACATGGCTGTCAGTCAATTCGGCGGGTGGGAAAACCGCACTCCTACATCATGTTGTGGTGGGGCTCAAAATGGAAAGGTCTTGAATCCTATTTTAATGTCAGGAAATCTAGAAAAAATTTACTTATTGTATTTATATCACTATTTATATGACTGTGGACACACTGTACTTACACACAGTTCTGTCCAAACAGCTTACAAAAGATGATTTTCATCATAGGTGCCCTTTAATGTTTATCAGAAAGAAAGAAGGAAAGAAAGAAAGACATTGGGCTTGCTTTCTGAAAAAGTCTTTTGAGACATTTAGTAGCAACATATGGATAAAAACAATGGTTCAAATTAAAAGTGTACACTCTTATTTGACAGATAGTCACATACCTAAGTGTTCAAATGAAACGCCAACAGCTGAATAAATCAGACACGTCGTGGAGTGTTGTTCATAAAGCAATATTATCGCCAAGACACAAATCAAAATACAATGAAGCAATAGCAAATTGTGAACAAAGCTTCAACTAAGTACAGATATATTCTCTTTGTTATAGCTTTCCGTGTGTCATCAAGTGATTGTGATTGTTGAAATGTGAAGCAGATTAAATGATACATTGTTTTATGGTAAATTATACATTGTTTCTATACTTGCTTTCTAAAAATGTATGTCTTGTTGCCATCACAAAAGACTAATTTTGAATAGTTTTGCTGATTTTTAATTAATTGTATCCCAGCCATGTTCCTAAAGGCACACTAATAGTACACATTTTCAACACATTTTCTTCCTAATCAAACACACCTAAATCAGCTCATTAGAACATTAGAAGAGACTCCAAAAGCCTAAAATGTATGGGTCAGATAAGGGGGATTATTGTTTCTATACCCGCTTTCTAAAAATGTGTTTGTTGTCATCACAAAAGACTAATTTTGAATAGTCTTGCTGTTGTTTAATCGAGTGTTTCCCAACCATGTCCCAAAAGGCACACTAAAAGTACACATTTTCAACCTCTTCCTAATCAAACACACCTAAATCAACTCATCAGAACTTTAGAAGAGACTCCAAAGCCTAAAATGTGGGTCAGATAAGGGAAATTAAACATTGTTTCTATACTCACTATCTAAAAATGTATGTCTTGTTGCCATTACAAAAGACTAATTTTGAATAAACTTGCTGTTGTTTAATCGAGTGTTTCCCAACCATGTCACTGCAGGCACACTAAAAGTACACATTTTCAACCTCTTCCCAATCAAACACCCCTAAATCAACTCATCAGAACATTAGAAGAGATCCAAAGCCTAAAATCTGGGTCAGATAAGGGAAATTATACATTGTTTCTATACTCGCTTTCTAAAAATGTATGTCTTGTTGCCATCACAAAAGACTAATTTTGAATAGTTTTGCTGATGTTTAATTAATTGTATCCCAACCATGTTCCTGAAGGCACACTAATAGTACACATTTTCAACCTCTTCTCTATCACACACATAAATAAACTCATCAAAACATTAGAAGAGACTCCAAAGCCTAAAATGTATAGGTCAGATAAGGGGGATATTCTGTTGGTGTGCCTCCAGGAACAAGGTTGGGTAACATTGGTTTAATCAACTATTGCATTTTTTTTTTGTATTGAATTTTACACTTTTTGATTATACTTTCATAAAACTTGCGTAAGACACTCTTTGTGTTTATAAAAGTGTGGTTTACGCTCTTCTTTTGTATTCCTGTTTTTAAAGATCAAAGAAGCGCCAGATTGCATTTAGGGGAAAAACTGCCCAGCACTGTACTGTACATATCAATAATTTACAGCTTTTGAAGACTGTTTACAGTTTTCCACAGCCTTCAACGTGCAGCCTATTATTTAATCAGCAGAAAGCTGGATGATGATTTTATTATTGGTGCTGGGTGACTGCTACGTGACTCTCTGTGGCCAATTGCCAAGTCACTCCCTTCTTAAACTACAGCACACCAATTCCTGCAGTAAACAAACAGCGAGTGGCGCTGTGCATCAAAGAATACCCATACATTCCCAATTCCCTACAAATCAGCTTCTGAGGATTCTTGTGCTATTCATGCACTGTGACATAAACAATAAAAGAAGCACATATATTTAACACAAAAAAAAAAAACATGCACAAATAAAAGAACATAGCAGAGTATTCTACTTAGTGTGTAAGTTATCAGCGGTATCCCGCAGGGTTTTGTCATGGGACCAATAGAGCTTTTCGCCCCCCAATCATTCCTCGCAACTGACACTCCTCCGTGCAGTCGCAAAGAATCAACAGCTTCTTTCACACGGAGGATGAGGAGGATGATGCCACACATGTAGAAGAGCATGATAGAGGAAGAGCATCCGTGGATTCCGTGGTCCGAATGAAAGACGCGAAGACAACCACACCAAAGCGGAGCTGTGCATTTTTCACAGGCTGTTTTTTTCTCTCTCTCAAGGCGTGAATTCGATCATGAATGCTGAGATTTAACGAGACTTTCTGTCCCGGTGACACATAGACAAAACGCTTCTTCATGTTGCATCCTCAAGCTTCATGACAATGGATTATTCGCTGTTATTATACAGCCTTTGGGTTCCCGTTATTCTCGCTGTTGAGGGTAAGTGCAAACGCTCTTTGTTACGGGGCCACTCGGATTGCGAGCTGCTGTTGGTCACCCCTTTTGCTAGTCTATTCACGGAAAGATTAGAACATTTAATAACAAATATATATAGAGAGAAAAGAGATAGAGCAGAACTTATAACCTTGTGATTTACGGACGGCGCGGACTGTTCGGGTTGGAAAACTTCGACTAGAACTTAAATGGTGCGATTTTGCATTTTATTTACAGGCTGAAACGCTTCGGCTGGATAATAAAACATATGCAGATGTACAATAGAACATATTGGGCGTTTAAATAAAAAGACAAAACATAGGTTTAATACCTTTACTGTCTTATTTTAGTGTTCACGGCAATACCATTATTTAATATATCCGAAATTGCGTTTGATTTACATAATTCGGATTCATTTAAAGGTCTCTTATAGTGAATTGTTTTAAAACCCTGTTCTAAAGCTGCAAACAAAGCAGCAAGGTGTTTGTTTTGTGGCATGCCCATAGCACATATTGATACAGACGATGTTGTTAGTCCGTGCCTTTGTTATAAGGTATAACAAACTGTAAACCACAGGCTAAATGAATCCTTTTGCAGTTGTTTGAACACGTTTACACACCATTTTTAATTTACTCGCGAGAGCCCTCGGAGATTATCATAACAACCTTTCGCTTCAATCATCGCCGTATTAAAAATCCCATGTAGTTTTTAGATTTTTCAGATGTGCTTTGTGCTGCTTGTGACACATGGTTCAGAGCTGCTGAAAGCCCCCTGTTGCTCTGGTGTGACACATTTCACCCTAAAGGCTTTTAAGTCACCCTGATAGTTGTGATAGCAGCATCACTTCATTGTAATTGCCACACATGCTAATTGGCTTTCATGATTGCAGCTGTTCAAAGAATTGTATAGGTGAGAAAATTGTAGTCTCATCAAAGTAACAATCCGTTTTTCGACATTATATCCAAGTCAGGTGATGTTTTAAAAACAGCAGTGAGGTAAAAACGTGACTAGTATTGAGCCTAGGTGTGGTTTTGGGGGGGGAGAGAAAGGCGATTGATACCTTCGAGGTTTGTTTACTTTCCACTACATTTTTGTAGAGAGCACTTATGTTAGTCTTATAAGTACACACACCAATTCGTCTAACCCTCTCGTAATGTCAAAACAAATTTTTGCTAGGTAAAAACAAGGCTGTTGTATGACCAAACATTTGAGTCTCAAGGCAGAATTTCGTTTGGTATCTTAAGCACATACACGCTGGCATCAGAATAGCCCTTAACTACAGTAGAGCCAGATACTTCTTCACCTTGGCCATGACTACCTCGATTCTTCATCAGTTTCACTGTCAGGATCTCAATCGATAGTGTGTGTGTGTGTATCTAGAGAGAGAGCGAGAGTAGGTGTTTGACTCACAGGCCTAGTTTCCGAGCAGGTTTCTTAACAGACTACATTAGTTACACTTCCAATGGAGGTCAAGTGGTGCCGAGCACCTCACGACAAGAGGAAAAAGTGTAGAGCTGCATCCAGGGTCCCTTGTGTCAATTCAGTCCATCTGTCACAACCTTCCCCAAGGCACTACGCGCTCCAAATATAAAACAAATGTTATGTGTTTTAGCCCAGTTACTGTGTCCTAAGTAGGGGTGACAGGTTTCCGCTTTTGTAATAACACACATATGTTTTTCGCATTCAACTGCTCCGCTTATATGTGCCAGATGGACGTGCTTGACCATTGCTTTTATGTCTAATCTCTTTTGCAGCATCTCACACAAAACACAGCATTAAAAATGCAGTAAATGTGTTTTATTTTTTCCACTTCACTACCTTGTCAGTGTGAATGGCCCTTAAGCATACTCTGAGCATTGTCCTCCTTACGCAACTTTCATCACACACCCTCTGCGTGTAGATAATTAGTATTTTTTTCCATGCAGACAGTCCTTGCGCAACAACACATGCGCAAGGTGAATGTTGTTAAGACAGTCTAAGACTGCGCATGTGTCAAACATGTCAATCTGCACTCTTCCGCACATATTTGAAAGCTGCTTTGATGCAGTTGTGCCTAAAATTAAACACCCAGGCCTTTAGAATTACAGTCTGATCTCATGAGGAAACGTAACTATTTTGCATTTTGTCACTTTAGTGGCTAATGGGTAAATGCACACAGACTTTTAAATTCAGTCCACCAGCCTCAGGGCTTCCTGTTAATTGTCATCCCATACAAAATTGCTGCGATTAAGTTCTGATTTCTTTAAAAAATTGCAATCTTCACTGCCAGGCTGAGATACGATATAAAGTGGGTATCAGAACAAACAAGAAGCACTGCATTAATGTTTTTAAAATATGGAAATTAAGTTCACCCCAGTATTTTCGATGGAATTTCTGCACTAACCTGCCGCTGATGATTTCATTAGGCATGGGCCGGTACAAGATTCTGACGGTATGATATCCTTGAATAAAAATATCACGGTTTCACAGTATCAGGGTATTGTGATTACTGCTCTAAAATATATTCTTTTAAATGTCTTGGTAAAAAAAAAAAAAAGCTTTTTTCCCCTTTGAACACAATAACATTTATTTTGAGAAACTTTTATAATATTTTGGAACAGTAAACATGTCCGGCTTTACTATTTCACAGAGTGAAGTTTATTCATAAACAAATTTCGAGAGGATCACGTGCTTATGATTGTTCGCAGCTGTTCCAACTTTAGCTAATGACTGATTATCCTATCAGACGATCCTTAACTCACTATAAATAACCAGACTTTTCTCATCTCAATCACTCCGTCTCGAAGAAACCCCCCCCACCCAACCCTACTTTCCCTCCTTTCAAACGGGCGTCACGGTGGCCAGTGATTAGCGCTGTTGCCTCACAGCAAGAATGCCCCTGGTTTAATTCCTTTCCAAACCAGACGGCATTTCTGTGCGGAGTTTGCTTGTTCTCCCCGTGGTCGCGTGGGTTTTCCCCGGGTCCCCCGGTTTCCTCCCACTGTTCAAAAACAAGCACTCTAAATAATTAATCAAAATACATTCGCTAACCTCCGAGTTCCCCTTTCAGTATACATATCTGACTTTTAGCTACAACAAGCAAGAAGGGGAGTCATCGAGATCTACCTGAGCTCAAACTCCCCTCTCGCCTTGCAACGGGGGGGGGAGCCCAGGGCTCGAGGATCTTATAAGCTCAGGGCTCTCTCCCGGGACAGCACGCCAAACTAGCTTTACTATCAATCATCAGCTAAGTGTGAACTCTTGAATTTCTTTACTATTTAAAACTGCATCTTTGGAGATATTTTCTGCTGGAGATACTGTTGTCCTAAAAAAAAATAATAATAATAATTTAACATGCCTTAATATACCTTAGGGACGGTATAGCAGAAAATTTTGGCGGTTTTAAAACCTTGACTTTTCTAAACCGCGGCATACCTTGAAAACGGTTATCGTCCCATGGCTAGATGGTGCCTGCATTTAAACGGTCGTTCGTCTCTTTTTAAGCTTTAGCAACCAAATGGATGCTTATGCCTATTAAACTGAATATATTTAAAATATATTACAACGTTGATACTGTAAAAGGAACCTTATGAAATTGAAAATAGCTCTAAACAGAAGTTCATCATTGGCTGAAAAACACTAGCTGTGCATATACCCCATTCATATGAGTTCAGTCGTATGAAAATGTATGATTTTAAAAAGGAGGTGTGGTACCAAACCCCACCCCTAAACCCAACCATCATAGGGGGGTGAGCAAATCATACTGAATTGTATGAATGAGATCGTACAAATTCATATGAATTAGGCGCTAAATCAAAAAGTTACGAATTGTTGTGAGATAGCATTGGAACAACCATACTGTACACAAGCAATTATTATGTAAAAGTAGCATAACTTGCTTGTGTTGATGTCTGCTTTATGTGGCACTGTAGGGCTGGGTGATATGACAAAAATATCATATCATGATATAACTCATCTCATATCCTGATAACGATATATATATATATATATATATATATATATATATATATATATATATATATATATATATATATATATATATATATATATATATATTTATATACACACATACACACGCACACACACATACATATATACACACACACACATATATATGTATCGTGATATAGTACATTTTCTGTAAATGTATGTAAATGTAATCAATTTATAATTCATATACATGTTTATATACATGGAAGGCACTGTTTCATTTTGTTTTTGTTTTAACATTTTAAAGTATTTACTTGAAAATGTACTCATTCATGTGATCGTATTTTTCACTTTTTATAGAACTTCAGGACAAACAAAATAAACATAGTATAAAATGTAGAGATATAAAATACTTTCCTAATGAATACAGGCAGTAAAATATATATATATATATATATATATATATATATATATATATATATATATATATATAATTTTTTTTTTTTTTGCTTGTTCAAACTACTTATTTAAAATGAGCTGAAAAAACCCAATTCTTGAGATTTCATTTGGACAACTTAATTTTTTTATGTGTTCAATCCACATAAATTTGTTAAAATTGTTAAGTTAACTTAATCAATTTGTGTTGGGACAACATGAATAAATTGTGTGGAACAATTGTGTGGAACAATCTGCATTTTTACAGTGTAGATTTTGAGTTTTTTTTTAGGACAGCTTAATAGTTTTATGTTCAATTCACTTAAATCTGTAAAAAACTAATGCGTTAACTTAATGGGCTCTATTTTGATGATCCATGTGCAAAGCGCAAAAACAATTAGGGCGTGTCGGAATCCACTTTTGCTAATTTACGGACGGAAAAATCCGCTTTGCGCCGCGGCGCATGGTCTAAAAGGGTTGAGCTTATTTTTTTTTAAAGAGTTATAGGTGTGTTTTGAGAATAAACCAATCAGAGTCTCATCTCCCATTCCCTTTAAGAGTCAGTTGCGTTGCACCATCCACTCATTTACTATTTACACGACGGACTTTGTAAGTGGAAAAACTGAGAATTTCACTACCAA